GCTCGGGCGGCCCGATCTTGTCGCGGTTCTCCACCTCCCAGACTCCCAGCGACTTCTCCTGGGTGCCGACCAACGGGCGCGCCTGTAGGCCAAGCTCCTGGCACATGCGCTTGAAGCCGGGCTCGCTAGACAGGCGCGGCAGCCGCAGCGCGACGCAGGCGGTGACGCCGAGATTCGAGGGGTCGGACGTCAGGTGTCCGAAGTCCTTGTGGAACGCGAACCTGTGGTGCTCGCAGCGCAGCGCCGCCTCGACGTCGGCCAGCGCGGCGCAGAGCCGCCCGAAGGCCTGCCGGAGGTCGCCCCCGGGCTGCAGCGAGGTCAGCAGCAGGTGGTCCTTTGCGGGCTTGTTTTCCACCGCCACCACCACAAGTAAGGAGGGGGAGGTGGTCCTCCTCCTCCTCCTCCTCCTCCTCCTCCTCCGCCTCCGCCTCCTCCTCCTCCGCCTCCTCCTCCTCCTCTTCCTCGTCCTTCTCCTCCTCCTCCTCCTCCTCCTTCTTCTCCTTCTCCTGCTCCGCCTACTCCTCCTCCTCCGCCTCCACCTCCTCCTCCTCCTCCTCCTCCTCCTCCTCCTCCTCCTCCTCCTTCTCCTCCTCCTCCTCCTCCTCCTCCTCCTCCTCCTCCTCCTCCTCCTCGTTCTTCTCCTCCTCATGCTCCATTCTTATGGCGGTGGTGGTGGAAAACAGGCCCACCAGTCCTCGCCGTTCACCCATGCGGCCAGGCGGCGGGAGGCCGCCGCGAACACCCCACGGGCCTCGGGCCACTGGCGCCCGCTGCCCGCGGCCAGCACGTGCGGGGCACTGGGCGCCGCGAGGAGCACGGCGCAGGAGCGGAGCTCCTGGGCCTCCTCGGCGCTCATGCCGTCAGGCCGGGTGTGCTGCGTGTGGCTGTGCGGCAGTGGAAAGTACTCGCCGCGCGCCTCGAAGTCCTGAAGGCGCCCCAGCGCTTGGACCAGCAGCCGCTCCACCTCGTGGCGCTCGACCGCGCTGCACAACGTGGGGAAGCGGAACCAGCTCAGGTTGCGGGACACCTGCACCCGCACGGAGACGGCGTGCCCGCCCCCGGGGTCCACCTGGGCGTCGGACACCCTGGAGTGGAGCACCCTGCTGGGCTGGGCGCGGCCGAGAGTGAACGCCGCATGGCGCAGCTCCATGACCTTCCCGATGATGTCCGCGAAGGTGTCGTACGACTCCTCGTCGCCGGCGCAGACGCCCATGATCTTCAGCTGCGGGCAGTCCATGCCGGGCTTGATGCACTTCGCGAATGTCATGCCCCGGCCAGTGCGGAGGCCCTTCAGCTTGCTCCACAGACCCGGGGCCTTCGTCAAGACGCTGGCCACCATCGTGGCGTTCTCCGAGAGGTCCGGCATGGCCTCGGGAGCCTGCCCAGTGGGAAAGCCGGGGGGCTCCGCGAGGCCCAGGCCGGGCAGCATGGCGTACACGAGGGGGGCCCTGGGCGCATCGGCGCCGGACTCCAGAGCCTCCTCCAGCCGCACCAGCCGGGAGCACCCCACGATCAGCGAGTTCATGTTGTCGATGTCCGGCGCCAGCTGGTTGGGGCTGGAGAGCTCGACCACGCCATACGGCCCCTGCCCCCAGCGCGCCTGCAGCGCCACCCGCGCGCACAGCTCTCCGAACCCCGGGCGCGAGGCCAGCAGGGGCAGCCGCAGCACGACGGACCCGCGCACGCCCAGGCTGCACGGGCAGGCCGTGAGGTACCCGAACTTGGCGCTCCTGGCGAACCTGTACCCCGACTTCCACTGCCCGTCCAGGTGGCCCACGGCGCAGGCGAAGCGGCCGTAGGCCGCGCGGAGGTCGCCGCCTTGCTGGAGAGACACCACCTTCAGGTGGTCCTCCTCGTTGCACCTTGAGCAGGGACCGACTGTCCAGGCATTCCTAATTCTAAGCCTACCACGACATATGTCCTTAGAACCCGGAAACGCTCGAATAACAACAACCGTGTTCTTATAACATAAGGCCGATGTTGTAAAACAAGACGGTCTCGGCCAGAAATGTTCTAATAATATCTCGTGCAGACCACAAAAGATTATTCGAACTTTCTTTCGTGGGCCTGTAGGCCAGCGAGGACACGTCGCCATTCCTCATTTAGAGGCCTCCTAGATGGGGTCCGAGTAACTAGATGGGGTCGGAGGATCGCGCCAGATCGCCGATGCATCGGCGATGCACCGGCGACACATCGTCGATGTCGGCGATGCATCGGCGACGTCGACGTGAAGCAAATGGGGCTCCACATCGAGCCGCATCGGCGGTGCATCGGGGATGCGGCGCGAGCCTCCGACCCCATCTGCTCCGACTCCATCTCTAGGAGGCCTATAGAACTCCTTCGTGGGCTACTATCAGGCCTAGCCGAGACACTCCGCCACTGCTTGATCCTCCGTGCACCACGCCACCAACTGCCCGGAGTCCGCCACGAAGGCCCCGCGCGCCTCGGGCCAATGGCGCCCCACGCCGCTCGAGAGGCGCTCCGGGCTCTCGGGAGCCTTGAATTAGGTCGGGCAGGTCCTCCTACAGGGGCGTCTTGGACGAAAAATAAGAAAGTGTCAAACTATATCTCAAAATCTCCAACAATAACAGAAGAATCGTCCCCTGACTATTTTTTGACTGTTTTCGAATGTTCTGCAGAGGGACAGACCCGGCTTAAGCCTTGAAAAGGAGGCCCCGCTCGGCCAAGCTGCTCTCGTCCTCCGGCGACATGCCGCCCGGCGACGGCGCGTGGGAGCCGGACCCCCGGAGGGGGTAGTACTGGCCCCTCAGGTCCGCGTCGGACAGGTGCGACAGCGCCCTCACCAAGATGCGCTCCACCTCGATCCGCTCCGCGCGGTCGCAGGCGGTCGGGAAGCGGAAGTGCTCCAGGTTGCGGCTGGCCTCCACCCGCACGGACAGCGCGTGGGAGCCGCGCGGGTCGATGGGCAGCCTGAAGATGTGGTCCGCGGGAGCCGGCGCCTCGGCCTCTGGCGCCGCAGCGGCGGCAGCGGCGGGGTGGCACATGCCGACCAGGGGGTCGAAGAGCTCCCTGAAGGTCCTGTACTTCGCTGCCCCGATACGCAACACGCAACACGTATCGTATTGATACGGAGCCCAACACGTAATTAGCCTGAAAACGTACAGTCCGACGCGATGCGCTCGCCAAAACGTGGTCCGATACGTGGAGCCAATGTCAACACGCAACGTATTGACACGGAAACACGGGACATGTTGCGTTTCAAAACGGGCGCATCGAGGCAAATAAGGTCGACCAGGGGGTCGAACAGCTCCCTGAAGGTCCTGTAGCACTCCGCGTCCCCGGCCACGGCGCCGGCGATCGCAGAGGCCCGGTGGTCCAGGCCGGGCTTGATGCACCTGGCGAGGCCCACGCCGCGGCTGGTGCGCCGGTCCCTCAGGCGGTCGACGAGGTAGGGGTCCTGCTGGAGCACCTGCCGGCGGCGAGCGAGGAGGCGGCTGTCCAAGCCATCCCCGCAGACGCAGAGCATACTTCTCGGAGGCGCGAGGGCTTCTGTCTGGGAAGTCCCGCCGCCTTCTCTGAGAAGGCCTTCGTCTGCTCACTTCCCCCCCTCACTCGCCGCCGATCGATCCTCGATCCTCCTCGATCCTCGATCCTCGATGCTCCTCGACGCGAGAGTGCCTGAACCGTCGTTGACGGTCCTGGGGCCCAGTGAGGGCCCCGCGAGAGGCCGGAAACGATGAGAGACGTCCCGTCCTGATTCCTGGACCCTCGATCCTCCTCGATCCACGATCCCGCTCGATCCTCGATCCTCCTCGATCCTCGATCCCCCGTCGCTCGCCGCCGAACCTTCCCCAGCAGCGTGCGGCTGTCGCACAGGTCTGGCTGGTGCGCGGGGCACTCCTCGGCGGAGGCGCCGGGGTAGTCCTCGGCGCCGAGGCCGGGGCACCACGCCAGCGCGCACGGCGTCTCCAGCAGGCTGGGCGCGTGCGGCTCCGGCCCGTCGGCGGCCCACTCCTCATGGGGGCGCCCAGGACCGTGTGCACCACCACCACCACCTTCGCCCCCCCCTCCCCTCCTCCAGCCTCCTCCTCTGTGCTTCCTCTCCCCTCTCCTGGGAGAGGGAGGGGGGCGAGGGAGGCGGTGGTGGCGCACACCCTCGCATAGAGGAGCAGAAAGACTGCATATAAACATTACACCACAAGAAAACCCCAATCAAAGGATGGTTTTCGCTGAGGAGATCGACCGGGAACCCGGGAGCCCGGGAACCCAGAACCCAACGAAATCGGTCCGGAACCAAGGCCAATGACCAGGAACCTGGGAACCCAGCCTGCTACCAAACTCGGCGGGAATTTTCGCCAAATCCTTCAACCTCCGCTATAGGACCCCTTCGGGAAATGACCCCTCGGGCCCTCGAGGAGTCGTGCTCGTGCCGTGCCGGGCTCCTCGGGTTTGGGGCCCCGTGGCTCCCGGTCCAGCGACCCGAGCGCCCAGCGGTGGCGGCTGACGTGGCCCGTGGGGACGTCCGCCTCTTGGCGGGCGAAGAGCGGAGCATACAAGCAGACCCTTCCGCCGTCGCGGGCGCCTGCCCCCCGGGGCGGCTGGAAGTTTAGACCCATGCGGTGCCACGCGGGGGTATTAACTTTCCGCCGCCGGGAGAGGGGTGGGGGGGCAGGCACACACGAAGGCGGAAAAGTTTGTATGTATACAGATGGGCTAGGGGGGAGGAGGTGGAGGAGGAGGAGGTTCTCACAGACGTTGCCGATGGAAGTCGACGAGAGAGAAAAAGAAATCAGTGCGGAGCAGGCTCAGACCCAGCGTCTCAAGGCCAGAAGTTTTTACTGCGCCAAAGCCGAGGTGCCAGTTTAACCAGTCTATGGGCCAGCTTTCCCTCCGCCCACACCAGAGCTAATTGCGCAGCATGCAGTGCCCGAGCAGTCGCCTGAACCAGTAGCTGTGCAAGCCTCGCGGTTTTTTGGTGTCACTCCGACACCCCTGCCTGTTTCAACTTATAGAACCAAGTAAGTGCTGCATCTCGTCATTGGCAAGCGACGCCGAGGAGACTTGCAGAGCCATTTTGAACAATGTCAACTTCAATCACAGGCAGCGGTTTGGATGTTGTCGGTCGACGTCGTTCACGACGGGGCTCTTGGGGATCTGAGAAATACCGCTGCCGTTGACAAGCCAGTCTACCTCCGCTATGCTGCCAGAGTGCTGGCTGTGATCGCGGGCCCCCCATGCGAGACGTGGAGCTCCGCCCGAGCGAACCGCTTGAATGGAGGCGACGGCGGGCCGCGACAGCTGTGTTCCCTTTGCTCGCTGTGGGGCATACCACAGCTCAAAGGAAAGTAATGGGCCCAGCTGGAAAGTGCAACTGATCTTTATCGTGCTTCACTCCTGTTTGCATATGTTGCTGCCGCCACTGGTGCAGGAGCATTGATTGAGCACCCTGCTCCTCCCTCTGACCAGCTTCTACCATCCTCCTGGTACGTGGAGGAGACTGCTCATCTGAATCATCGGATTAGCATGCAGCACCCAGGAGTAGATAAAGACATCGTTTGGGTGGATCAGTGTGAGTTCGGGGCTGAGTCAGTTAAGCCCACTTGCCTGTTGGTTGTGAATATGCCGTCCGTGAAGGCTCAGCTGCATCAGCTTCCCAGGCACGGCACATGCACGCATCCTCCTGGCAGTCACAGCGTGTTGATCGGCCGTGCCACAGGCGGCACGTTTATGACCACCCCTGCCAAGCAGTATCCAGTCAGGCTGTGTGCATTCCTTGCTTCGCATGTATACCAATTCTGTCTAGGAGCAGGGGCCTCTATTGATCCTTACGGTTGGCCTAAGGACGTAGAGGAAAACGTCGCTGGCTTCTTTACCCCGCTAGATGTCTACAGTGCTGCACACAGATGGGGTGAAATCGGTCGAGATTTCGTCGGATATGGCTCAGCCGTGCTGGTGGGTCGGGCATTGGATTGGGTGGGATAGGAAACGGCCGCCCTTCCAGGCAGGTCAGGACTTCCTCTACCAGGAGGCGGGCCCCTGCCGCGCGCTGCCCCCCCGATCGCTCGATTGGTCTAATCCGGTGCTCGAAATTCATGTGCCGCCTGCGAACATCGTTCCCGTTGGCTGAAACGCTAGAAACGCTAGGAGGAGGAGGAGGAGGAGGAAAGGAGGACCTCCCCATCCTTCCATCTCCCCCGTCCTACCTATGGTAGTGACCCAGACACCCGACGCCGCGATCTTCTCGCAACGTCGACCCTAAGAGGTCTGAACCCCTTCCCCGGGACCGGCTTTTCGTCCCGAAGCGTTTTTACCTGTCCCGAGGCCGGGGAAGGCCCCTCTGGAGCCCGAACACAGCGACAACACCTCCCGCCGTGATCTCTGTCACAACGTGGACCCCTTCCCTGGGACCGGCTTTTCGTCCTGGAGCGTTTTTGCATGTCCCGAGGCCCGGGAAGGGCCCTCCGGAGCCCGAACACAGCGACAACACCTCCCGCCGTTTAGGGTTTAGGGTTTAGGGTTTAGTTATTAGGGTTTAGGGTTTTAGGGTTTTAGGGTCTGGGGACGGCCGTTCTTCGCCCTCCGGGCCTCCCACTGCTCGCCTTAGGTCGGGCATGTCCTCCTCGCGAACTTTCGACGAAAAAACTGTGTGAAACATACTCAAAGATAGCAACAATTATAAGCAAACGTCGTCCCCAGACCACTTTTGAGCACTCCTCCTCTAGGAGGACATGCCCGACTGGATGCTCGCCCTCGGGCTGCCGCCGCCGCGCCCCCCGCGCCGAGGCGGCGCGCGGAGGCGCCGCGCCCCCCGCCCAGGGGACGCGGCTGTCCGCCACCAGCCCGCCGCGCGAGACGGGGCGGCCGTGCGCCTCCTTGATGAGCCTCGCGTACCCCGCGGCGCTGCCCGACGCCACCCGCTCCTGCGTTGAGCAGGGACCGACCGTCCCGGCATTCCTATAGTCCTACCACGAAGTGTTCTCAGAACAACAGCAGGGTTCTCAGAACATAGACCCGACGTGTTAAAACAAGACAGTCCCAACCAGAAATGTTCTAAGAACATTTCGTGGGAACCACACAAGGTTCTTAGAACATTGTTTGGTAGGGCTATAGGCACGCCAGGACGCTTCGCCACTGCTTGACTGTGGATGGATGCTAAACGAAGAAAAGACGCAATGAGCATAAACTTGTGTCGCTCCGCGCGGACGTCTCGGAGCCGCGCTGGGCCCCCGCCCCCCGGTGGCGCCTCCGGCGCCGCCCCTGGCGTGCTCCGCGAGCCAGGGAGGGGGGTCCAGCGCGAATCCGAGAAACCCGCGCAGAGCGCCAAAAGTTTATGTGTATGGCGTTTCTTCTTCTTCTTCGAGATGCTTGGAACTGAGCACCAGCACCAGAGGGAGGATGCCAGATTCTGGCGTTGGTGGTAATGCTTCGGCCACCCAAGAAGCCTAAACATGATCACCATCACCGAGATCGGGGGATCATCTTCCCTCGGTGGAGGCACGCGGCCGATATTGGTGTTGGTGCGAACCTCTGGGCCTGCGACATGGCCCAGGCCAGGACGAGGAGAAAGCCGAAACGAGAATGGGTCGGAAACCTCTGAGAGATCTGGCGGCTCCAAAGGCTGTCTCGGGCGCCGCGGCCTTCTCGAAGCCTTCCGCAACGCTCTGAGAGCGTGCCGGAACGCTTTGTAATAGACTTATCCTCCCTCTGGCAGAAAAGAACGCGGCATAAACAAAAACTTTTGGCCCTCCACGCGGATTTCTTAGATCTGTGCTGGCGCTCCCTCCCTGGCGCGCGGAGCGCGCCAGGGGCGGCGCCGGAGGCGCCGCGGGAGGGGGCCCAGCGCGGATCCAAGGAATCCGCGCGGAGCGCCACAAGTTCATGTTCATGCCGTGCTTCCTTCGTCGATCCTCGCCCCAGACCCGCCCGATCCTGCGCCCCGCCGGCGCCGCCGCGCTCGCGCCAGGCCCGCGCGGCGCTGCGCGCCGCGCCGCGCGCCACGGCGCGGTGCGGCGCCGTGCGGCTGGAGGAGCGGGTGCCGCACCAGCCCGGCGGCGGCGCCGCGGCGGTTTGCGCGGGAGCGGTGCCCGGCATGGTTCCGGCCTGGCCTGGGGGCAACGATAGGGGGGCACTGGCACAGGGGGGATGCATCGACCTGGAATCGGCGATGCATCGCCGATAGGTCGGCGATAGAGCCCCGATCGTGAATCCGCGCCTCCCTGTGCAGGTTGGGGCTATCGGGCCCCTATCGGCGATCAACGGGCGATTGGGGGTCGATACATCCCGCCCTATGCCGACCCCCCCCGATGGTTGCCCCGGACGGCCGCTCTTCGCGCGGAGGCCGGCCCGGCGCTCTGGAGCCCAAGCAGTGCACGTCACGGTGGACGTGTACTGTCAACCAGTATCAGAAGGATGCGCGGTAAAGATGCAAGGGCCTCCAACCCCATGTCATTGTTCGAACGAGGTTGGCCGGCGAAAGTGGCCAAGGATGGGCCGAGGGGGCAAGGATGCAAGGGTACCCTTGGGAAAGTTGCCCATCCTTATTCTGCGGGTTGACTGTACTGTGCGCAGAGCCTGACTTTTGTATCCAAGTCGTATCGGCGTTTTGGCTCCCTGTGATGCAGCGGGGGGGTGCCAGTACTAAAACGACGAACAGAGGGGGGGCAGGCAGAGCTCCAGCACAAATCGCCTCCGACAGCTTCGAAACCACAAAATCCGTCGATCCCGTCGGCGTGTATGAGAGGCTGTTCCGTTAAGTCGTCGTCGTCGTCGTCGTCGTGGTCGTCGTCGTCGTCGTCGTCGTCGTCGTCGTCGTCGTCGTCATTGTCGTCGTCGTCGTTGTCGTTGTCGTCGTCGTCGCCGTCACCGCTCCCTCCTGTCTCTGTCCGTGGGCCCTCCTCGTCAAACGTCCCAACCAAAAAGAAGCCGAGCAACGTCGCAATCGAGTCGAAAGGAAGCCCTTTCCCTTCGATCCCTTCCCCGCCAAGGGGGGGGGGGGGTCGCGGGAGGGGCGGAGGGTCGCCAGGTGGGGGGTCCCAAGGGTTGTGCCTCACCCCCGCCCCCCCGTGGGAGAGCACCCTTCCCTGGGAGAAGCTTTCATCTTTGACTCCTGGCCTCCCACACGCCTCGGGAGGTTCGGCAGCACTGGGCGCAAAGCCTTCACACAATCGATAACATCCCCCCGCTTGCCTGAGATCGTTCTGCAATCCCCCCTTGGCGGAATCCCTATTAAGAGCACTGTTCGTATCTTACCTGGGGCACGCCTGCATCCCCTGAACTTATCACCGCAATGCGCAGCGGAGAGAACGTAACATTGGAGGACAACGAGGAAGAGGAGGAGGAGGAGGAGGAGGAGGAGGAGGAGGAGGAGGAGGAGGAGGAGGACAAGGACGAGCTGCGAGCACCGTTGCTTGCTACAGTCCGGCAAAATGTAGAAAACGGAGAAGGACAACGCAGAGCCAGGTAAACGGGGGCCCAGAGGAGGCGTCCACCCGAGGACGCACCGAGAAACCATGCTAGCGCGGCATCGTGCAACCATAAAGATATGAACTCCGGCATTCCGCCCGGCAGCTGAGCAGCAGTGTGGCTGCGGCAGCAGCGCAGCAGTGTGGCTGCGGCAGCAGCGCAGCATTGTGGCCGCCAGTGCTGTTCCCGGCACCCAGTGGCGCCACTCCAGCAGCAGGGTGGACGACCCCACGCCTCTGCCATTCGGGTTCTCTGAAACGCCTCCCTGAGGAGGAGGAGAAGGAGGAAGAGGAGGAGGGGAAGGAGGAAGAGGAGGAGGAGGAGGAGGAGGAGGAGGAGGAGGAGGAGAACGACCCCTGCTTCTCTCAGACGCCTCCCTGCGACGGCGCCAGCCGGGCTCGCCCTCGCGGACGTGGCCGCCACGTTGCCACTCGGCGGGGCGCCGAGTGAGGAACGAGAGGGGGCCTCTCTGGCCACGGCGCGCCTCGGCCACGGACGGGCTCCCCCGCCCAGGTCTGAGGACCAGCCCCAGGTCGAGCATTTCCTCCTACAGGCGGCTTCAAGAGGAAAAAATAAGCAACAATCAACCAACAGAGTCAAAAGAGCACGGCAAATCGTCACCAGACTACGGCAGAAGGAACAAATGACTGAACACTCCCCCGCTCCCACAAACTCAAAGCTGGCACGCGCACTGATGACTGCGGCCAAAGTGCGGCTCATTCAACCCGCCGCCAACGTTGATCACTGGAGGGGCACCGACGTATGACTGCAGCACGAATGCTCTCTATTTTCTTCCGAGGCCTGAGGGCATGCCTCGGGGTGGGCATCAATTCGAGCCCGCTCTAGGTGGTTCTGTTTGGCCCGCAGTCGGTGGCGCTGGGATGCTATGCCGAAAACCATGCCGCGGGCGCTCTGCGGGCCAGTCGGGGCTAGGCTTCGTCGCTCGGGCGCCGTGGCTGGCGGGGCCGCAGCGGCTGCGGATTCTTGTGTGCAAGCAGCGCTGGCCCTGCTGGGGTGGCCCCTATCGTGCCCCACTTCATTTTTCATGTATCGCTCGCGTCGCTCGCGCCATCGGACCATATGTTTAACGCATCGCTCATATCGCTCGTAGAAAGAAAACGCGTTCTTATGAATGATCCTCTTTCTCGAACTAGCGACACGTTCGATACATGAAAAATGGAATCCAATGGGGCGAGCGATATGAGCGACTCGTTAACGGTAGGGCACCACTGGGCTGCGGCGCACCGGGCGCGTCTGGTGCTCTCGGGACACCTGGCTGCGTCACTGTCATGGCGAGAACCCTGCGCATCCGCGGGATAATCTGCACTTCGCGGCGCCCAATGGGCTTGCGGCAGACCGTCTTTTCTGGCAGTGCGTTTGCCGGCGGCGCGCACAAGAAATGCGGGAGGTCCTGCACCTGAAGCAGGATGGCCTGCAGCGACGAGCGAAGCGACGCAAGTGGTCACTTAAGGCCATGCCACGTACATCACACGGGAGTTATATGTTCGGATGCCCCCTTGCGACTGCCTGGCAGGGCTCCTCCCAAGTGGATTCGACTCCTGCTGGTCTCGCAGAAATCCGTGCCCGCAGGCTCGCGCAGTCTACTCGCACATGGCGGCATGACCTAAGACATGAGATGTTGGCACGCCTCGGGGTGGGTCTCCAATTAGAAACCCGCTCTCGGTGCTTCAGCTTCGCCCGCGGTCGGTGGCGAAGGACATGCCGCGGGCGCTCTGCGGGCCAGTCGGGGCGAGGGTTCAGTCGTTCGGGCGCCGGGGCTGGCGGGGCCGCAGCGGCTGCGGATTCTTGTGTGCCAGCAGCGCTGGCCCTGCTGGGGTGGCCCCTATCGTGCCCCACTTTATTTTTCATGTATCGCTCGTGTCGCTTGCGCCATCGGACCATATGTTTAACGCATCGCTCATATCGCTCGTAGAAAAAAAAGCGCTCTTATTAATGATTCTCTTTCTCGAACGAGCGATACGAGCGATGCATGAAACATGGAATCCGACTGGACGGGCGATATGGACGATTCGTGAACAATAAGGCGCCAATGGGCTGCAGCGCACCGGGCGCGTCTGGTGCTCTCGGGACACCTGGCTGCGTCACTGTCATGGCGAGAACCCTGCGCATCCGCGGGATAATCTGCACTTCGCGGCGCCCAATGAGCTTGCGGCAGACCGTCCTGGCTGGCAGTGCGTTTGCCGGCGGCGCGCACATGAAATGCGGGAGGTCCTGTACCTAAAGCTGACTGCCCTACAGCGACGTTCGAGGCAGCGCAACTGGTCAATTAAGGCCATGCCACGTACATCATACGTGAGTTAAATGTTCGGATGCCCCCTTGCGACCGACTGGCAAGGCTCTTCCCAAGTGGATATGACTCCTGCTGGTCTCGCAGACATCCATGTCCGCAGATTCGCGCAGTCTACTCGCACAAGGCGGCGTAACTTCAGACATGAGACGTAGTATTTACTACTCTTCAAATTTCCTCCAGTAGAGGGACACGCCCGACTTAAGAGCAGGCTGCAGACCAGAGCCCCTCCCGCGCCCGAACAGCCCCTCCAGCTCAGCGTCCTGGCCGTGACCGAGCAAAATGTGTCGGTCCCGGCCCCTCTCGTGTCCGACGCCGGCTCCTGGAAGTGGAGCGGCGCAGTCAGGCAGAACGTCTTCCCCCTCCCTGTGTCGTTCCCGCGCGCGCGTGCTGGCAGCAGGGAGGGCCACAGCCATGCTCGCACGGGCCAGCCTGAGGAGGCGACGTGGCCGCTGAGAGCTCACCCAGAGCGCCCGATCAAGAAAGGAGCTATCCCCATCACAGGCTTGAGATTTGGAGGTGGCCGCGAGGTCTGAACTGGTAGTAGGACCCAAGACAATCGGACAGGAAAGCGGGGATGAGGCCAAAACCAGTCAACGTTAGTCCCCGTACCTTTCGCGGGGTCCATCTGGCGCAGTTTGTCAGACTGGATCTGTTTCTGACGGCCCTGGGGCCCGAAAACGCGGCCCCCAGTGACAGAAAAATGCAAAAAGCCTTCCCGACCCAGAACCTCGAGCCTGCCCGTCCTTCTCGCTGGCCAGAACCAGTGCTGGGCTGCTGGGCCACCTCAGACCCTCCGACGGCTCCGCGGCTCCGCTGCTCCACCGGCGTCCTCGGGGCTTGGGATCGTCACTTGTTGAATTGGGCAAGGGCGCCTGGTTCCGCCAGCTTCCGCTGGCCTTTCCGCCGAGGAACAAACATGGCAACTCACTCGATCCTCGAAAGCAAGGCCCATTCTGGAACGCCCCACGTGTTGCATTGTGCAGGGGCGGGCGGGGGAGCGCCCGTGGACTCGTCCGCCAGCCAGCAGCGGAACTCGGCCTCGTCCGCGGGCGCGTCCTCCGCGGCAAGCGAGCCGCGCGCACTCTGCCGCTGGGCTTGGCCGTCCCCTCCTCCTCCTCCTCCTCCTTTTCCTCCTCCTCCTCCTCCTCCTCCTCCTCCTCCTCCTCCTCCCTCCTCCCTCCTCCCTCCTTCCTCCCTCCTCCCTCCTCCCTCCTCCCTCCCTCCCCTCCCCCTCCTCCTCCTCCCTCCTCCCTCCTCCTCCTGCTCCTCCTCCTCCTCGTCCTCCTCGTCCTCCTCGTCCTCGTCCTCGACCTCGGCCTCGTCCCTCCTCGTCCTCCTCGTCTCCCAGCAACTTTTCCAACTCGTCCTCCTCCGTCCCCTCTCCCTCCTCCATCTCATCCCCCTCCTCCTCCTCCTCCTCCTCCTCCTCCTCCTCCTCCTCCTCTCCTCCTCCTCCTCCTCCTCCTTCCTCTTTCTCCTCCTTCTCCTCCTTCTCTTTCTCCTTCTCCTCCTCCTCCTCCTCCACGTTTCGTTGTTTCGTTCGAAGTGGTGCCGCAACCCTGCACGCTGGCGCGCGTGCTCACTGCTTCCTGATGCCCGCAGCGCTCGCGCCTTGTCAGCTCCAGGATCACAGGGCCGACTCCTCCCTCTCCCCTCCTCCTACCCCTCCTCCTTCTCCGTCTCCTCGTCCTCCTCCTCCTTCTCCTCGTCCTCCTCCTCCGCCTCCTCTTCTTCCTTCTCCTCCTCCTCCTCCTCCTCCTCCTCCTCCTCCTCCTCCTCCCCTTTTCGTCCTTCCCCTCTCCCCCGTGTTGTTCCTCCAGGGTCCCTCCAAAAAGGGAAAGACATCCAGGAACAGTTTATCTCGGTACCCCCTTTCTTTGATGGCAACGAAGCTTGCGCTGTTGGAGTTCTGGGCTGAGGGAGAACGTTGGGAGGGGCCAGCTTAGGGGAGGAAACATCGGCCTGGAATCGGGAATCCATCGCCGAAAGATCGGCGACGGGCCCCCGATGGCAGAACCAAACGCTTCTGGGCTGGGCGGGCTATCGGGCCCCACATTGGCGATCAATAGGCGATCGGGGGCCGATGCATCCCCACCTGAGCTTATCCGCCTCCCTAACGTTGCCCTTGATCCCCCCTGGATCCCTCATCAACTCATTTCCCCTCCATGGTGTTCGACGCCCGCAGGTGAGGGTGCAGACAAGGGGAGGCGGTGACTTCCAGGGGGCCCCGGGCGGACGTCTGAACGTCTGGGGGGATGCTGGGAAGCCGATGCCCCGGTACATGCACGGCTTTTTTGCTGAGCCCTGCCGACATCCACGCTTCCCCTTCGCCTCCGCTTTCCTCATCCGGAGTGCGCCGAGGCCCGGCCCTGCCCTCTCTGGCGCCCCTCCCTGGCCCGCTGGAGGCCACACCAGCTGCTCAAAAGCTGTGCCCGCACGCTGCACCAAGCTAGCCCGCCAGCACCCGAAGCCCAGCCTGCAGTGGGCGAGTCTGCGCGCAGGGCCTTGACAGTTGCAGGCCTCCCACGCCTCGCCGTTGCTCTCGCCGTGGGCCCAAGAGCTCTGGAAACACCATCTGAAACTCTCGTGTGGATTCTCCGGGGCCCGCTGGCGCCTCTGGGAAGCAGGATCTCTGGGGGGACGAGAACACGTGTGCCCGTGATGTGTTCTGCGCTCCTCAACGGCCAGCGCTGCATCCCGAATCATTTTTATCGACGACCCCGTAACCCCGGGGGGGCCCCTCGACATTGGGGGGAATAGCCTCCAGGACCCGTTTCCATGAGGACACCCCTTCCTTCGTGACGACGGCTTCTGCGCTGTTGGAGCTCTGGACTCATGGAGAACGCTAGGGCGGGACCGGCTCAGAGGAGAAAACATCGACCTGGAATCGGGAAACATCGACCTTCATTCACCGAGCGGTCACCGACATTCCAATCTTTTGGTCGGATCAAGCAGGATGAATGTCGAAGGTGCCCATCGAAGTTGAACATGAAACGAGTTCGATCAACTTTGCCGACTGGCTATCTTAAACCTATTGCGGTCCTAAGGGCATCACATCATTATGACTATGTGTACTCACCCCCGACTCCTGCCCCATCCTCATCTTCGACCCTTTGTTCTGCCCTCCTGCTTCTCCTCCTCCTCCGCCTTCTTATCCTCCTTCTACTCATCCTCCTTGCCCTCCTCCTGCTCCTCCCTCCTCCTACTCCTCTCTCCTCCTGCCCCCTTCCTCCTCCCTCTCCCCCGTGGGTGCCAGCCCCTCAGTCGGGCCTCCAGCCAGTCGCTGGCAGAGGATCGCCAGAGGTTGCGCAAGTTCTGCTGGCACAGCAGCACGTGCCGCTTCGCCTGAACCCTACCGTTTCAATCCGCACGATCACGAGGAGACTCCCAATGCCCGCTTACGCCTGAGCACCTATGAGGCTACCCGCTTCTCCTCCCATATGCTATCCATTCGGATGAGATCGCATCCCCGATCTCACTCTCTTTCCGCTCGCCTCGCCGCTCGCTCTCTCTCTCTCTCTCTCTCTTTCTTTCGTTCATTATTTCTCTTCATCTCTCTCTCTCTCTCTACCTAAATATCTCACCGTTGACTTGTGCACCCGCATCACTACCAACACCACCACCACCACCATCACCATCATCATCATCATCATCATCATCATCATCATCATCATCATCATCATCATCATCATCATCATCATCATGGTCATCACCATCACAATCACCATCACCATCACCATCATCATCATCATGATCATCATCATCATCTGCATCACCATCATTGCCAACAACATCAACATCGTCAGCAGTACCAACAACCGGACCAGTATAATCCTTCCACTCGCTTTCAACATCACCCTCTTAAATATCTGTACCATCACCATCATCATCAGCACTACCACCACATCACCAGCACAGCCACCATTACCATGACTACCACCACCACCACGACGCCGTGACTATCCTTACCAGCATCATCATCAGCAGCAGCAGCATCATCATCACCATCACCATCGCCATCATCTTCATCAGCAACATCATCACAACCATCAGCAGCATAATTGACAACATCGTCCTCATCATAATCATCATCCTCATCTCCATCATCCGCCACAGCATGCTCAGCAGCAGCATCCTCATCATCACCATCACAATCAGAACATCATCACCACCATCGCCATGAACGTCACCATCACCATGCTCATCAGCAGCATCATCATTATGATCGTCGTCGTCATCATCACCAGTATCATTAATATCAACAACACCAGCACTAACATCATCACCACCATCACCGTTAACATCATCAACACCATCATCATCACCACAAACACCATCAACATCATCAGTCGTACCATCATCAACCGTACCATCATCATCAGCATCGTCCACAGCATCATCATCATCATCATCATCAACAGCGGCATCATCATCAGGATCAGCATCACAATCATCATCGTCATCAAGATAATCCTCATCCCCATCCACATCCACACACATCACTGTCATCATCATCAGCATCATCAACATCATCACTAGCATCAGCATCGTCATCATCAGCATCATCATCACTACCACCAGCATCAGCATCAGCATCAGCAGCATCATCATCATCACCATCATCCTCATTATCACCATCATCATCATCATCCCCATCCTTGTCCTCATCCGCATCATCCTCATCATTATCCTAATCATCCTCGTCATCGTCTTCATCACCCTTCCTGCCCGTGTGTTTATCACACACACACACGCACACACGTGCGCGCACACACACACACACACAAAAAAAAACACACACACACACATAAGCACACACACACAGACATGCGCACGCGCACGCACGCACGCACGCACGCACGCAAACTCACACACACATGCACACACACACACACACACGCTCTCTCTCTTTCTCTTCTCCTCCGTCTCTCCATTCGCCCCATCCCTCCTCCTCCTCCTCCTCCTCCTCATCCGATTATCCCCCCCGTCCTCTACTCCCCTCTGCTCCTGCCTCCCCCGCCACTCGCTCCTCCACCCCCCTCTGCGACAAATCCATAGCATGCTCGCGCATCGATTGGGAATGCGATGTACTTCTCTGTCGATCCGACGAGAGAACTAACTCGAAGGCAAATCAATTCGGCTGCCGATACCCTGCTCGATCCCTGTGGGCCTCCATCCTCATGCCGTTCAGCTGCACCCAGGCGACGACGTCGACGAGCACCCGCAGCACCTCGCTCTGGGAAAGGGAGGGGCGGGGGGGAGGCGCCCCCCTCCTGATGGGCCGATTTTCCACCATCAGCACCATGGGTAGGAGAAGGAGGAGGAGGAGGAGGACGAGGAGGAGGAGGAGGAGCAGTTTAAAACAAAGAGCCATCAACGATGATGGAACTAATCCTCCCTCCAAGCTCCCTCTCCACAGGCCCACACAAGGGTTCATTTCCATTGAGGCAACTGCCTCGCTGGAAGACCACCGTTTGCAGATCCTGAAGCATGCCAAAACACTGTTCTGCTGATTTCAACGTCACGTATCAACCTGACTGATGCGTCTTGACGATCTGGAATCGTGCCAGAGCGCCGTTTTTGGGACTTCAGCACCGCGAATCAACATAACTGTTGCGCCCGCATAATCTTGAATCCGTCCAAAACACCATTTCTGGTACGCTGATCATGGCAACCCGTCAAACCCCGGCAAATGTTGAAAACGAATGTGCGCGGCGCTGGGCGAGAGCCACATTTTGAAAAGCAACCGCCCTCAATCCGTGAAGCTCTTGCAACATTTGAAAACGAATGTGCGCGGCGCTGAGGCGAGAGCCACATTTTGAAAAGCAGCCGCCCTCAATCCGTGAAGCTCCTGCGAAATTTGAAAACGAATGTGCGCGGCGCTAGGCGAGAGCCACATTTTGAAAACGACCCGCTCTCAATCCGTGAAGCTCTTGCAAAGCTTGAAAACGAATGTGCGCGGCGCTGAGGCGAAAACAACATTTTGAAAACGACCCGCCCTCAATCCGTGAAACTCTTGCAAAGAATGTGCGCGGCGCTGAGGCGAGAACCACATTTTGAAAACGACCCATCCGGCTCGAAGCATGACGCGGAAAGCTGGGGTCCAGGGCTGCGGTGGCGATGGGCTGCGATGTCGCAGCAGGTTTGCAGCGCTGGATCTGAGGGCCCAGGGAGGCCCCCGTGGCCTCCAGATCACCCCTCGCGAGGCCCAGGAGGGCTTGCGAAGGGGGCTCCAGAAGCTCGGTGGCAACTCGTGGGAGCCTCCCATACCATCTTGTCGGCTCTTGCGATTCGACGCCATAATCGACGCTGAATCGACGCTAATCGACGCTAGTCGACACTACGTCGGGCTATCCCATCGACTCCCAGAGGCTAATCGACGCTAGTCGACGCTAAAGATGGAATTCAGAGAGTACACCAGGCTCTCATGATTTGTTACCGAAAACAGGAGGGAACGCAGAGCTGGGGCACTCTGAGCCCGAGCGCGGCCCACCCTGGTCTGAGAGACCCGCGCGGCGCATCGCCAGGCGGGCGACGGTGCCCTTCTAAGACGAAGAGGCCAGGACGAGGACAGCATCAGAGGAGGTCCTAAGTCGAGAGCCCCTGGGATCCAGCAGCCCTATGTAGAGGTCCAAAAATCCACCCCCATAATAACCACCCCGACACGCGACGTCGTTTAGTAAACGCGCCCGAAGACGCCCCAGATGGCCCCAAGACAGCCCAAGAGGCCTCCAAGACGCTCCAAGGGCCTTCCAAGAGGCCTCCGAAGAGGGCCCCAAGTTGCCAAAATCGCTGATTTTTATGTGTTTTTTCGATGTTTTTTTTGCGTTCTGGCCTTTTCGCTTCCGGACGCTCCAAGAGGGCCCAAGAGGCCTTCAAGACTGCTCCAAGAGGCTCCCAAGACGGCCCCGGAGCGGCCCAAAAGCGCCCCCCACACGGCCCAAGTGCCGCCCAAGGCGGACCAAGAGGCCCCAAGACGGGCCCAAGAGGGGCTCAAGAAGGGAACCGAGAACTGAAAAATCGAGCCCTCCGCCCCAGAAGGCGCCCAGGACCCCGAAAGAGGCCCCAAGAGACTCTCCAAGACACCCCCAAGACGCCCCAATAAGCTCCCGTGAGGCCCCAAGAGGACCAACAACGTCAGGCCCCAGGCCCCAAGAGGACCAACAAATACCGCCAAGAGCCCGCCGAAAGCCCCCCAAGAGACCGTCACGAGAGCTCAGGAGGCCCCCTGGAGGCCTCCCGAGTTCTCCAAGAGGCCTAAAAAGAGGCGCCAAGAGGCCCCAAACGGCCCCAACGAGGCTCCAAGAGGCCACGAACGCGCAAGCAAACGCCTGCGATGGCACAATACGGGCCGGCGGAATGAGCGAAGCGATTAAATAACCACCCCGACACGCGAAGTCGTTTAGTAAACGCGCCCAAAGAAGGAATCAAGCAGGGCAAGGCTGTTTAGTAAACGCCCACGGCCGTTTCGTAAACGCCACTTGTCCGGCCCGCGTGGTTTTTCCTCCCTTGACTATGGAGGACGCCTCGGGCGCCGCGGCCTCCCCGGAGCGCTCCCAGGCGCTCTGAGACCGCTCCGGAACGCTCGGAATCGCATCTGCCCTCGCCCCAGCCCCGTCCGAGTCTGGCTATCGTATCGGGCCGCGGGGCGCCCGCGGCCGCGCGTTGCGCGCGCGGCGTCGGGCGGCGGCCCGCGGCCGCGGGAGGAGCGCAGACCGCCCAAGGGGGCCTCCAAGACAGCCTAAGAGGCCTCCAAGAGCCCAGGGGGGGGAATCTTCCTCCTCCTCCTGGTCCTCCTCCTCCTCCTCCTCCTCCTCCTCCTCCTGGTCCTCCTCCTCCTCCTCCTCCTCCTCCTCCTCCTCCTCCTCCTCCTCCTCCTCCGCCCCAGCGGTATGGCGGCCGCGCCCAGCGGTGCGTGGCGGCAGGCGGCCTGCGGTGCACGGCGGCGGCTGGCGGCCAGCGGTGCCAGCGCATGGAGGCGGTCAGCGGGCAGCCGGCGGCTGGCCGCCAACGGCGACTCTAGCCGACGACGACGACGACGACGACGACGACGACGACGACGACGACGACGACGACGATAATGACGGGCGACGCCAACGACGCCGACGGCGCTGAAGACGAAGACGACGACGACGACGACGATGACGACGACGAGGATGACGGCGGCCGCCAACGGCGACTCCAGGCGACGACGACGACGACGACGACGACGACGATGATGACGGGCGACGCCAACGACGCCGACGACGCTGAAGACGAAGACGAAGAAAACGACGACGACGACGACGACGACGACGCCGACGACGACAAAGACGACGACGAGGATGACGGCGGCCGCGGAGCGCCCAGCCGCGGGGCTGCGGGTCGTCGCCCGCGCGCAGGGCCTCCACCTGGCGCGCGCGCGGCGCTGGGCTGGTGCAGGAGGTGCTCGAGCGGCTCGCGGAGGGCTTCATGGAGGAGGAGGAGGAGGAGGAGGAGGAGGAGGAGGAGAGGAGGAGGAGGGGAGAGGAGGGAGGAGGAGGAGGGAGGGGGGATAGGAGGAGGAGAGAGGAGGAGGGGTGGAGGAGGAGGAAGGAGGAGGGGGAGGAGGAGAGGAGGAGGAGGAGGAGGAGGAGGAGGAGGAGGGGAGGAGGAGGAGGAGGAGAGGAGGAGGAGGGGGAGGAGGAGGAGGAGAAGGGGAGGAGGAGGAGGAGGAGGAGGAGGAGGAGGAGGAGGAGGAGGAGGAGGTGAGAAGGAGGAGGAGGGGAGGGGAGGAGGAGGAGGAGGAGGGAGAGGAGGAGGAGGAGGAGGAGGAGGAGAGGGGAGGGGGAGGGGGAATAGGAGGAGGAGAGGCGGAGGAGGAGGCGGAGGAGAAGGGGGGTGGAGAAGAGGAGGAGAGGAGGGGAGGAGGAGGAGGAGGAGGAGGAGGAGGAGGAGGAGGGATGAGGAGAGGAGGAGGGGGAGGGGGAGTAGGAGGAGGAGGAGGAGGCGGAGGAGGAGGCGGAGGAGGAGGAGGAGGAGGAGAACGATGAGGAGGGGGGGGAGGTCGTCGTCGTCGAGCGTTGGTCTGTGCGCTCTGCGGGCGAGCGCCCCTCACCCAGGCAAATGGAAAATATGTTGGTAACGCAGCACTCGTATCGCAGCATAGCCGCATGCACAGAGGCGGAGGGAGGCGGAGGGAGGGGGAGGCGGAGAGGACAACGGCCTATGGTCAGGAACTTTTGCACAACGTGTCGCGGCAGCGGCCCCAGCGACACGCTATCCCCTGCGAGCTGATGGCGTGTCGCTCCGGTGCGCGGGGCGGGAGACGGGGAAAAGCACGGGATGCCGGCGCTTGAAACTGGGAAAGTGATTCACGTGTCGCGCCGAAGCGCGGTGAGCCAGAACCGGCGGCGCTACACGCTAAGCCAAAGTTACTGATCGTTTGCGGAATTCTGCGGTCGAGGGGCTGCTGCGTGGGTCACAAAACTGCCATGCTTGAGGATACTCATGGCCCGCCCAGGCCGATGCTTGCCGTCGCGCCGAATGTCCAAACCGCACGGGCTTAAACGAAGAAACGAAAGCCCAGCACTATCGCTGAGGAAGCGGGGAGATGAGGCAGCAAAGGAGGAGGTCGGAGGGATGCGGTTTGCCTCCCTCGTGCCTCCTTACTCCCACCTTTCCCGCTGACCCATCCTCCTCCTTGTGCCCCTCTTCTTCCTCTAGCTCTCTTCCTCCTCCTCCTCCTCCTCCTCCTCCTCCTCCTCCTCGCCGTCTCGTCAACCCCGGCGACCGGGGCGGCGAGTTGATAGAGGCGCGTCTGGCCTGCAGCCGCACGATGAGATCGTAGCACGAGGGAGGTGCCGCGCGTGCAGAGGGACAACAAACGATGGCCATGCCCAAGCCCAGACGCGGAGACAGCAGTGCCGAACTCGGTCCTCGCCAGCCCTGGCCACTGTCCATGCGTCGGCCATCCTCGCGACACTGGCGACGGCCAGAATGGGCCATGCCCGAGACCGGCGTCGTCGACAAAGCCCCGCGACATCTTGGTCATGGCCATCATTTGAGCAGGGACCGACCGTCCCGGCATTCTTCCTACAGTCCTACCACGATATGTTCTTAGAATCCAAACATGTTCTAAGAACAAAAACAATGTGCTTAGAACATAAACTCGATGTTGTTCGTGGAAACCACAAAAGGTTCTTAGAACATTGTTTGGTAGGGCTATAGGCGAGCCAAGACGCTTCGCCACTGCTTGAATCATGCTTCCTCATCCGACTCGTGAGCGTCGGGCCCCCAGCGGCCCGGCTCTTCCAGGCGCGGGGGGGGGGGGGGCGCCCGCAACGATGGGCCCGGGGCCCCGCACTCCTCCTCAAAGGAGCGCTTCTGATGGGCCCATGCTCCACCACCGCTGGGAGGAGGGAGGAGGAGGAG